CAACTAGAAGCCTCTTTTAATGCTGTATGAGGAAAGCACACTTTATTAAAACAAAGCAGAGGTAACCCCTGTGAAGATATTAAAATGATAGTGCACGAAATTCAAATGATATGATTTGGGTTGGTGTATTCCACACAGCTATGTCATCATACATAACACTGCATACACCTACTCCTTGTTCAACTCTTGCACTGTCCTGTACAGCTCTGTATAAGCCACTTGCATGTTAGTGAGGCTTGCTCAGTAAGTCTGAGAGCTATGTATAGTAAGGAAACCCCATCCAGCAATAATGATGCCTTGATCTGATTGGTTTACTTATTCATTGGAGAGTATAATAATTTTTGCAGCAAACTTGTCGGTATCACTCTTATACTGTAATAATCAATCTTTCTGCTTTTTACCCAGGATGCAATGGATCAGGTGACCCCTGCTACAAACAAAACATGATGTCAGGAGACTTCGCCTTCTGACACCTGACCTTTCATTTTACTATTATTTCATTACTGATTACCTTATCATGTCTGGACTCCCCACATCCGGGAGGAAAGCCAAGACCCTGATCATCGAGGATGGTAAAGTCTGGACCTGATTTTTTTTTTTTTTTTTTTTTTTTTTTTTTGTATTAGCTAGCCGCTGACAGTCACTAGCAGGTTGGGGCCACATACACATAGGGCTTGATTTGCTAAACCAATAGAAGCTGTATATTTTGCATAGTGCATGTTGGTAAATAAGGTAAACCTGTGACTACTTTGAGTACCCTATCATGTTTGTGAGTAAGGGTAAAAATTTATTTTTTAAAAATGGGGTATGTAGCGCTAGAGAACAGATGACAAGCACAGGGACTGTTACAATATGAAATAATCACATAGGAGTTCATATAATGACTCATATATAACAGTCAGAAGCAAAACAGAGATGATCCAATGCTGCTCCAGATCACATTCGGTGAGATATAGGAAGATAGTGAGGTTGTGCGCTTACCACAAGTACACACAATATGAGCATTGTATGCAATTCAACAGCAACCGGGCATCATGGTCTGGTCAATAGCCTGGGCACCCTCTGGTCATATCCGAACATCCAGGACACAGGTACACCGCTAACCAAGCTCCCTCTGGCTTTCCAATCCAAAACGCCACCTTACATTAGCTCATTAAAAAAACGAGCCGGGAAGCAAGAAAGCGCTTATAGTGAAGTACGTTTATTGAAAACACACGATGTAAGCAGAACAACCAGAACTTACATCGACAAACTATACATCCAGGCCCAGATAAATAGGCTCCCTAGTGGTTAGTGGTTAATACAACATGCACTGCATACAGATCCAGGTCCAATAGATGAAACCCTGGTGGCTAGTGATACCATGAGTATATAGTCATATAATGTATGGGTAATGCAGATATACTCATCCAGGTCTGGTGAGGCAGTTCCCTGGTGGCTAGTGGATCCTCAATAGCAAAGGCGTCAGTAGGGTGGATCCCCTAACATGTTTCGAGCTAAAGCTCGTTTTCAAAGGGGTGAATCCTGCCCTTAGACGCCAGTTTAAAAAGCCCGCGGTCGCGCATGCGCATTACGCACCACGCGCCGCTCCAGGATACTGCGCATGCGCGAATGACGTCACACGCTAACCGTGTAGCTACTGCGAATGCGCGAGCGCGTCATCACTATGGACACTGAAGCCCAAATGACAAGATCTGCCCACACTTAGGCAGGCATAGGGCGGGTCTGGACGGCTGCTCTCATCCTCCATAGAAGCGGAGACCAGAGCAGCTATCTATAGTGGTATATGCACAATCTAGATACACTAGATCGCCAGGGAAATACCCCAGAAGCAAAAAAACAGTTATATCCATAATTATGACATACATTTAAAAAACATAAATATGTAAGAACCACATATGTGCATTTTAATGAATATAAAAAGACTGCAGGATCACATATAATTAAAATCCTTAAAGTGATCCATCCATAACTACACCCAAGTTAAAAATGGAATAAGAAACGATCAAATAAAACAATATAATCATGCCACATTACAATGACATATATGCTGTTATCAAAAAAATAAGTGTCACATACTAATGACGAACAGTAAAACCATGCTAATGATCATGTGATGTCATGTAAAGAAATATATAATAAATGTCCAATATTTATACCCACATAATTAATATTATACAATCCAAAAGAACTAACGATCAAAGTGCAGAGTGGAAAATCATGCACAATGGTATCAATCTACCTTTATTAGAAAATCCCATTAATGTCAAAGTGGGATATAAACCATCTAGAAATGATGGATAGAATTCTATATAGACAGTCATTACCCAGCAGTAAACATGTCAATATAAATTCAAAGAACCCATTCCATCATTCAATGGTGAAACAATATCGTAAATGTACCCCAGGTAACGGTATAATGTACCGAAATTAGCACATAACTGGTAAAAAATCTAAAAACAATACAGGTAGCACCGTGGACAAATCAAAATCTAAACACATAAAAAAGCTGTATAAATAGAAACAAAGAACCTAGTAAAACCCGAATCAACTGTTATCAATAAAGCAGTTGATGTCCAGGTCTACATTGAAGCCTCTGGGCTGAAGAGACTTGAGCTCTACAATCCACTTCGTCTCAAGACGGGACACCGCTATTTATTTTTGCTAGCACATTATTGTGTATTCAAACTGATCAGTTTCCCCTTATTTACTAACATTCACATTACTAAGTAAGTAGATTTTACTCCTTTATAGGACATCAGCTTCATGGTATATGATAGTGTCACATATTGCTTCTATGTATTTAACAGTGATAAAATGTGAATTAGTTGTATTTGGTCATTTCAGCAGCTCTTCACTTTGAATCCTGATTATAGGAAGGACTTCCTCCTTTAGGTAGAAAATAAACCACTTAGAGGATGACACAAGGCAAGGGGACTTTCACAGGATAGTGAACAGTCATTTATGTGTTCTTGCCCACTCCATTGCAGACTGTGATGCTGCACCTCCAGATGAAGCCAACCCCTTTTCCTTCAAGGAGTTTGTGAAAAGCAAAAGCCGCCCAAAAAATTGTGACGTAGAATCCTCAAAGGTTTGTTGCTTTTTTTTTTTTTTTCTTTTTTTAAGAAAAATATTGCTAAGGAATCTGAAGAATTTACTGAATAACCAAGGCGAGGGCAGCATTCCAGTCCACTATTTTTCCTCGTGATCTTTTGAATTTAGGGGAGTACTTTTTATTTTTATCATATAAACATTTACATTGTGGTAGGTATGCATTTATTTGTGGACACTAAAACTGGTGCACTCAGAATCTGGTCCAGCTTGCATGGTAGCCAGTCAGCTTCAGCTTGTTCAATTAAGCTTTGACAATAAAACCTGGAAGTTGATTGGTTTCTATGCAGAGCTGCACCAGATTTTACACCATGCGGTTTTAGTAATAACCCCCTATGCTACATTTTGAAATGTATTACATTTTGAAATTAGTCTGTTTACATTTCACAACATGACTATATGTCAATTTTAAAGAGTCAAGGGATCTGGTTCTCTCCAGGCAAGCAAGAACATCTCTCATTTACCAGCATTTTGCTGACATCCCATTTGCTTATTTTGTCTGTCTGATATTGCTTGAGTACTCCACACCTCCCTGCTGTGTAAAACCCTCATGTCATTGGCATTTGTGATTTTTGGAACACCTAATTCTGGGACACCCATCAAGGTATCTTTGCTGTCTAAAAATGCACATCCTTGATAATTAGGTGAGAAATGATTCATACCCCTTGTCCCTCCCACTTTGCAATCTCCAGAAATTATTATTGAGTGATGTAGATCCAAAAACTGGACATCCTACGTGGCTGCCATGAGGCTGCAGTCCTGCAAAGAACAAAATGTGTGACGAGAAGCTGCAGCCTCATTTGAAAGCTTTACAAAAGCTCTGATCCATTTGTTTAGGCGTTTGATTTTAGCACAGTTCAACTGTTTACCGAATTGATTGGAACTTCACTGATTGACTTTAACTGCTTCCTAGTCTTTTAATGTGTTATGGCAGGAAAAACTGCTAAACATATAGTTTAAAAATAAGTTCACTTTTGGGAACATGTTACATGTTTCAACAGTTTTTAGGATGGAACATGTAACATTTTCCCACTGCTCCAGCTTCTTCCCGATCTGCCGCTTCTAGTGACAGCGAGCTGGATATCTTCTCCCCGAACTCGCTGTCACAATGACACTACAGGATCGCTGGTGAGCAGTCTAGGTAGTTCATTGATGGTTCCTGTCATTGTGTAACTGCCTGCCTGTATGAGGTACGAGCAGACTGCTTACACTGACAGTCAGCAGGAGCCTTGCTTTGAACCTGTGATCTGCTGAACACGGGTGCAATGCTTTACAGGCTCCTAATAATAAAAGAAAAATAATAAATTCTCATTTTTTTTTTTACCTGCAAAAAGATGCGCAAGTATAATTTTTTTTTTAAAAGGTGAATTTATCCTTTAAATACATATCTGTTTAATGTTTAAACTGCAAAATGATTTGCCATTTCAGTCGCTGTTATAACATCACTCTGCTAAATCCTGAGTCTGCTTTACTTCGTACTGAATTCAGCGTACACAGTGCCTTCCTTCACTGTGCAGGAATAAGCAGTTTATTCTGAAACGATTATATATTTTTTTCAGAAGAACACCAAACAAAGTGCCACCCTGATTCCCAAGCCTTGCAGTAAGCTGCATTTGAGTCCTGAGTACCAGGAGACCTTCTTTAAAGACCCAACAGTTGCAGATGATTTGCTGGACGATGACGAGGATGAGGATGGGGATTGGAGTGGGAGTTATCACCCATCAGTTATTGAACAAACACATGATATTGACACATCACAGGGCAGCTTTTGTGACGAATCATATCGATACTGTGACATCTCCAGTGGTGATCCATTTACAGCTTGGCTGCCTGCCAGAGCGGTCTCTCCTGTTAAAGCAGATCCCACTAACGACACTGTTAATTATTCTATGGAGGAGCTGCACTTTCAAACACTGCAAATAAATTATGAGGCGGTAAGTGGCATCTGATCATATTCACTGTGCAAGTGTACATGGGGTTTTCACATCATCAGATTGAGACCAATTTGTGCTTTGCTGTGTGATTTTACTAGCTGCATACTTGCATCTGGAAGATTGATTCACTAGATAATAAAATGCACCTTCAAGGAGCAATTCAGTTGTGGCACCTACCATATTTCTTTCTTGACAGTTTCCCTTTAAAGTCAGAGCTTAAGATGGCCATATACATAGCAATTTGTGATCGATTTGAGTACAAGTAATTGCAAACAAGTGGTTTATTGATTAAAATATCAAGCAATGCAACACACATATCCTGGTATTCATAAATACTGGCGCAGACAGATTTTGCGACAGTGTCTCTCGTGTCTTGTAAAAGTGGTAAATATTGTACCAAACTCATGTTCCTGTGTGGAACTTGTGCTTGAATTTGGCTCATGCTGCGTCACTTTTAGAATGTATGTGAGACACTTTAGCAAAATCTGTCTGAGCCAGTTTTTCTCTCTACACCAAAAGAGAGTTGGCCCTAATTAACACCACTTTTGAATTTGGCACATTCAATGTGACGCAAGGTAGATATGGTGCATTCAATGCGACGCAACTTAAAAGTGGCACATTTTAGAACTACCTAAATTTGGTGCACGAGTCACTGTCAGATCCAAAAGTGTCGCAAATGCTTCATAAATGTGATGCAATACAGTAACAAAAGGGATAAATGCCTTAAAAGTTGCGCAAAAGCTTTACTGAATTCCTTGCATAGTATTGTTTCATATTTTGCAGTCAACTAAAAATAGGGGTCAAAAATGAAATTTAGCGGTTGTAAATTTAAGCAATCTATTAAACGCAATTATTTAATCAATCTGAATTATGATTGGTTCTCCCAAAACATGCAGATATTTGAATAATTAGGAGCGGTTATCAATATTTCAATAGAAATAGATCAAGAGCTCACTAAATCAATTCAAGTTTTTATTCAATCATTTTGGTCCCATTGAATGATCAATTGTATGCTCTTTTGGCTATGTATGTGGCCACCTTTAGGCACACCTGGTCTGCATCCCACAGTGCAATGTGTGTGCTTTGCAGCAGCCCTTTTTCAGCAGAGGACTCTGTGTGGCTCCCACCTCCCAGTCATTGGGTCCTAGTAATCAAAATAAAAATACAATTGGCTAATGTAGATAATACTAGTAAATGGTATGATTTGTCCTCTCTTTGGTGTTTAGCTGCAGCAGGAGAACAATCTTCTAAAACGAAGAGTACAAGAACTTCAGGAGATAAATGAATCCCAGGCAGATAAGTAAGCAAATACAGATTAAATATATTTGAACATGTTAGTCTACTAATGAAGATTTACAGGTCTAGTCCACTTAAACGTGATATTTTAGTTCTAGGTGGATTCTATCTCTTCACCCTCCGCTCAGCTTGGTTCCATTTTTATATGCTGTCATACATCTCATAGAAACACTGATATGAAGGAACAATGGCATTAGATAGACCAGATTCATCTATTCTTTAAAGTTGCCATTGCTTAAGAACATTTATCTGTTTTTTTTCGTTCTGAATGGTACCATACTTTCTTCTCCCGTCCCATAATTGGGCAGATCTCTGAGTTGTCATTGCTACATTTTTTGAAATACTGCAGTTAAAGGGGTGGGGTTTAGCGGCAAGGGGAAGTTTCTTGTCAATACAACTCACCACAGTGAAGACGAAGATTGTCTTGCATTCTCTTGCTATTAATACTAGACAGACAAGGCTTACTATATTTACAGTACAGAATGTATGTTTTAGGGTAAAAGATCTGCATACAAAGTTGGAGGAGAAGATTCTGGAGGAGCAGAAGGAGGCACAGGATTTGGAGTCCATGGTACAACAGGTGGAGGCCAATCTTCAAATGATGACGGTCAGTACAAGAGGTTTTGTAACTTGCTGGTATCATATTATTTGATAAGGTTTCTGAATCTCCTTTCATCTTCCAGAAAAGGGCATCAAAGGCTGAGAATCATGTGACCAAACTGAAGCAAGAAGAAGTGGCTCTTCTCCAGGTAGATGCAGAATGATATTCAACACCTGCATGATACAAAGTATCCGCTCATACCAACACTGTCAAAGACTCCTACAGACCTTACAAAACATTTTGTGGATGTGATTCACCCAGCTTATACTCCCCCCCCCCCCCCCCCCTTCCTTTTGGCCTCAAAAACCTAGACGGGCAAAGCTTATCTGGCCTAATTATGACATCACTCAAGGTGTCCATTTTCTTTTGTAAATGTTCCCAATTACCTAAAGGGGGCAGCAAAGGATTAGGAATAATTTTGGATTTTTCCTAAAAACTTCTGTGCTATGTCAAGAGTTGACCTATAATGAATTATATAAGTTATTATCAACAACAAATTTCTATCTATACATTTTGCAGACATTCGCTGAGGCCATTTGTACTGAAATCTCTTAATTATCTAAATTCTTCCGTTGTAATATAATAAACTCAAAATAATTTCATTACAATAAATACAAGAACAATTTCCAAAATTCTGTCAAAACTGAGTTTTAAAGAACATTTGTTTAGCCTGTTACATGAAAGTAAGGTTAATAATATAACTGCGATTGCAAAATCTTCAACTTTACTCAAATTAGTTGATGCAAAAAATAAAATTAAAAACAACTACATCTAGTATTATGACCTCCATGATTTGTAAGGACAGCACCAAGTCTTCTACACGTGGAATGAACGAGTTTGTGATATTGCAACATCTGTCTTTTTCCATTCTTCAAGAGCGACCTCTTTTAGAGAGTGGATGGAGAATGATGCTCAACTTGTCTCTTCAGAATTCCCCATAGGTGTTCGATTGGGTTCAGATCAGGAGACATACTTGGCCACTGAATCATTTTCACCCTGTTCTTCTTCAGAAATGCAACAGTGGCCTTAGATGTGTCTTTTGAATCATTGTCATGTTGGAAATGTGCATGACGACCAAGGGCATGGAGTGAGGTAGCATCTTCTCTTTCGATACACTGATGACGCCATACAGTTTTAAAGCCATTAGTTCCAAAAACTTTTATCATGGTCTCATCACACCAGAGTACAGAGTACCAGTAGTCTTCATTTTCAGCATGGGCCCTGGCAAATTCTAGGCAGGCTTTTTTGTGCATGGCTTTAGGAGAGGCTTCCCTGGTGGACGACACCCATGCATGCCATTCCTCTGCAGTGTATGCCGACAGGGGAAACAATCACTCCAGTTTGGCTTTCTACTTCTTTAGCTAGCTGCAGTGAACTTGAATGGCAAATTTCTTTAACCCTTTTCATCAGAAAACGCTCCTGTCGAGGTGTTAACTTCTGTGGACGGCCTTGACGTCTCTATGAGATGGTTGCAGTTCCATCTTTGTTAAATTTTGTATCACATTTTCTACAGTATTTTGACTGATAAGTAAAGCTTTGCTGATTTTTTTGTAGCCTTCACCTTTCTTGTGTAAAGAAATTATTTTCTTTCTTAGGCCTTGTGAGATGGGAAGGGGTTTTCTTTAGGTAACACCCTTTTTTTTATTATTATTATTATACAGTACTTATATAGCGCCAAAGGGTATGCTCAGCACTGTACAGTAGCAAGGGGGACAGAACATGAGACAAGACAGTAACAATACAATACACGAGGGGTTTCGAGGGCCCTGCTCTTTCGAGCTTACAATCTAGGAGGGAGGGAAAGTGGTACAGGAGGAAATGGCTGTGGGGAATGGAGTGGTGGGAGGAGTGGAGGAGGTTAGTTGTTGGGTGAGGTCAGGTGTTTGGTGAGGTTGGGGTAGGCTTCCCTGAAGAGGAGGGTTTTCAGGGTGCGCCTGAAGATGAGGAGGGTAGGTGACAATCTGATGGATTGGGGTAGGGAGTTCCAGAGGATGGGGGAAGTCCTAGAGAAGTCCTGCAATCAGACGTGGGAGGAGGAGACCAGGGAGCTAGAGAGTAGGAGGTCCTGTGAGGATCGGAGGGCACGGGCATCAACTGACTGCTGGATGCTTGTTTAATGAATAATTAGACTCGCCTGTAGTTGAATTCTTGTTAATTAGGATTTTGTTGTCTAAAATTTAGCTTTGCTCCTAAGACTTTCATTGGGGTGTATTAATTTTGCAACATGGTCTTGAATGGATTTGTTAGGAAAAATACTTTTTTGTGTGTGCAAATGAACAAATCTTGTTTGTAATCAATGGCCCCCATTTGTGGGAGTATTTTGTAGTATAGTGTCCCATAGAAAATGTTTTCGGAAAGGAAAGGTTTTCTGAAAAATCTGTTGGAGTGTACGCATTTATGCTGAGCACTGTAGATATAAAGATTGAATATAGTAATATAAAAAACAAATTACTTTTCCGCTGCCCTATAGCAGAAATACTGCTACAGAGAGGCAGGGATACACAAAATCACATGTATATATACATGATTTTACATTTCCGGGTAGGGGTGCACACGCGAGCCCTATCCGCGCCGCCGCCATTCGAGGCCTCGGCTGTCAATCACCTGGTGCTGGTGAATGATCACCGAGTATTACCAACAATAAACAATACAGTTCTCTCTCCCCTGTCGGCTCCAGCACACTGTTTTGTATGGCTCTGCATGGCATACAAAGCAGTGTGCTTACAGTGGAAAGCACAGACACAGCCTCATAGTAAAACACACACAGCACACAGTTAACCCTTTGATAGCCCCAGATGTTAACCCCTTCCTGCCCAGTGCCATTAGTACAGTGTCAGTACTTTTTATTAGCACTGATCACTGTATTGGCGTCACTGGCGCCAAGTTAGTTCCCCCCCCCCCCAGTGTCAGAATGCCTGCTTCAGTCCCGCTATGAGTCGCTGATCGCCGCCATTACTAGTAAAAAAAAAAAAATTCCAGTATATATACCGCCATTTGTAAACACTATAACTTTCACATAAACCAATTAATTTACATGTATTGGGATTTTTTTTATCCGCAAAGACATGCAGCAGAATACATTTTGCTAAATTTATGGCAAAATTTTATTTTTTAAAACATTTTTACTGAACATGTTAAATAGCAAAAAGTCAAAAATATTGTTTTATTTCTTAAAATTGTCAGTCTTTTTTGTTTATAGAGCAAAAAATTAAAAATGCACAGGCGATCAAATACCACCAAAAGAAAGTGGGAAAAAAGGACATAAATTTCATTTGGGTGCAGCGTTGCATGACCGTGCAATTGTCACTTAAAGTAATGCAAAAAATGGCCTGGTCAGAAAGGGGGGTAAATCCTTAGGAGGGCAAGTGGTTAATTTTTTGGTAAATGACATTTTTGATTAAAATAATCTTGTCAGATAATAACACCATATGCAAGGTAAATTTTAATATGAACTCTTTTCCAGATTTTGATGAGGAAATAAAAAATAGTGAACTGTTATTTGTCCTTTTTGAGTCCGAGACATGGCCTCCTCAATTAATCTTGCAATGTGGTACCATGATCAGTCCTTATCTCATGACTATCTGATACAACTGTACCCCCCAAATTTACAACCTGGGAAAGTATGCCGTAAGAAACTGAGAATGTCTGATGTTAGAGTCTTTGGACAGAAACCATGAACTGAAATTCAACTTGAATACTGATAGAATATTAAGAATAAAATGGCTTCCAGCATGCTCATGTTACATTATGTAGATATAAGTTTGGGCCTTACAGTTTAATTTTATGAGCACAGAATAGTTCTGACACAGCTTAAAGGGAAACTATCATTTTCAGTAATTGCACATTGATTTTTCATCTATCTGTAGGTTATTTGTGACATTACTATTGCATTTTATTTTCATGGCTGTTTGACCAAGCAGAGTGGGATAAAATCATTTAGTCACATTAGTAGTAGCTAGTCCCATTCAGCTTGTTCATTAATGCTTAAGGAATGCAAGCACATTTTTTAAATGAGTGTTGGGACCATACCCCAGCATGTTTTGGCCACGTAGGTAACGTAGTTACCTTAATGCAGTCACCATGGTGTCATGAATTTTGTCAAGGCAGGTAGTGATTGAGAAAAAAGCATGATGGGGAGTGTGAAAGTGTCATGAAGTCAGAAAGATACATTCTTTGTTGGGGTTAAATGGCTGAAGGTGTGATATGCTGTCAGATCACAAAGGTAGAGATGTTAAAATGGCGTTATATGTAGGTGACAGGTGGTGTTGCAGGCCTTCGCCCTTGTTTAGAAACAGTTTTTCCAAGTTTAACATAAATGGCCTCCTGGAAACCAATTTTCCTCACCATCCTCTGTGAATGTCCCTTGTCCTTAAAGTGTTACTAAACCCACAACAGTAAAATCAGTCTGTATATTCAGTAAAGCATGTTTGTTATATAATAAGGATGTTTGATCCTGTCTTCTCTGATCCTCCCCTTCTACTGTTCCCCATCCATCTGCTGATAAAACAGCCTTGAGGGCAAGCTGCACATACTCAATGTGGTGTGTATTGCTAGAGTGTTTTTTTTCTTTTTCTTTTCTTTGGAGAGAGTGCATGTGATCAGCACAGGGCCAATCTGTGCTGTTCAGACAGAGGACCAGGGGTTATGCAGCCTCATAGGACAATCAGGGAGAATGAAAATTCCTCCTGTAAGCTTTAACCAGTGCTCTGCTGGACTCTGATAGAAGTCACAAGACTGCTCCTAACTACTGATGAGAAAAGATATATATTTACTGAACCTGTGGATTTTACCCTCCCATGTTAGACGATTCTTTTTTGGGAGGTTGTATTGTTAATGCAGAGTAGAGGTTTTTGCATTCCTCATGACACTGGACTGTATATACCAAGATCTTTTGCTTGTGTTTGGGTTCGGAAGTACAAGTCGATGTTGACACTTCTAGGCTTAACAAGGATACAATGTTTGTCAAAAATCTTTCTGTGATTTTTGGACACTCAAGCCACCTATCTCACGTTTTCTGCTTCTCTCTTCCTTTGGATGGTCCTGTGTCTTTGCTTTACCTTGTGTGTGTGTGTGTGTTTTTTTTTTTTAAAAGACCTGTCTGGGTAGCTACAAACTTTCAAAGCACTTTCATGGTGTCTGTGTTCTTTGTTTTTGGAGTTTGTTGTTACCATCTCGGACCAGTGTTGAAGAGTTTTAATGACCCATAATTTGCGGTGGGTGTCAAAATACATATACAAGTCCTTATAGGTAGGGCTCTTGCAGACCTTTATGCCCAAGTTACCCTCTTCTGTGACAGTAACATGCAGTTAAAAAGGGGTTTTTTTGTAATTCTGTGTTTTTCTTCCCGTTTCAGTTTGTGTGTTGACTGAAAACATATACCTATAGTTGCAAGAAAAAGTATGTGAACCCCTTGGGATTACGTGGAGTTTTGCATGAATTGGGCATAAAATGTGCTCTGAACGTCATCTAAGCCACAACAATAGAAGAACACAGTCTGCTGAACACAATACTACACACAAACATTAGATGTTGCCATGGTTTAATTGCACATAACATGTAAACATTCACAGTGCAGGGAGGAAAAAGTATGTGAGGCCCTAGCTTAATGACTTCTCCCAGAGCTAATTGGAGCCAGGAGTGAGCCAACCTTGACTCCAATCAGTGTGATGATATTGGATGTGTTGCTGACAGCTGTCCTGCCCTTAAAAAACACACACACCTGTTTTGGGTTTACTGGTTTCAAGAAGCACTATCTGATGTGAACCATGCCTCGCAGAAAAGAGCTCTCAGAAGACCTACGATCAAGAATTGTTGACTTGCATGAAGCTGGAAAGGGTTACAAAAGTATCTCCAAAAGCCTTGATGTTCATGTGTCCACGGTAAGACAGCCTGTCTACAAATGGAGAAAGTTTAGCACTGTTGCTACTCTCCCTAGGCGTGGTCATCCTGTAAAAATGACTGCAAGAGCACAGCGCAGAATGCTGCATGAGGTAAAGAAGAATCCCAGAGTGTCAGCTAAAGACCTACAGAAATCTCTGGCACATGCTAACATTTTTGTTGACACATCTACAATAAGGAAAACATTAAACAAGAATGGAGTACATGGGAGGACACCACGGAGGAAGCCATTGCTGTCCAAAAAGAATATTGCAGCATGTTTGAAGTTTGCAAAAGAGCACCTGGATGTTCCACAGCACTACTGGCAAAATATACTGTGGACAGATGAAACCAAGATTTGGGAAGTTGTTTGGGAAGAACACACAACACTATGTGTGGAGAAAAAAAGGCACAGCACACCAACATCAAAACCTCATCCCCACTGTAAAACATGGCGGAGGGAGCATCATGGTTTGGGGCTGCTTTGCTGCCTCAGGGCCTGGACGGATTGTTGTCATTGATGGGAAAATGAATTCCAGAGTTTATCAAGACATTTTGCAGGAAAACGTACGACCATCTGTCTGCCAACTGAAGCTCCGCAGAGGATGGGTGATGCAACAGGACAATGACCCAAAGCATACAAGTAATTCAACAAAACAATGGCTGCAAAAGCACAGAATACGCCTTCTGGAGTGGCCCAGTCCGAGTCCTGACCTCAACCCGATTGAAATGCTGTGGCATGACCTTAAGAGAGCGATTCACACCAGACATCCCAAGAATATTGCTACACTGAAACAGTTTTTTGAAGAGGAGTGGTCCAAAATTACTCCAGATTGTTGTGCAGGTCTGATCTGCAACTACAGGAAACGTTTGGTTGAGGTTATTGCTGCCAAAGGAGGGTCAACCAGTTATTAAGTCCAAAGGTTCACATACTTTTTCCTCCCTGCACTGTGAATGTTTACATGTTATGTGCAGTTAAACCATGGCAACATCTAATGTTTGTGTAGTATTATGTTCAGCAGACTGTGTTCTTCTATTGTTGTGACTTAGATGACGTTCAGAGCACATTTTATGCCCAATTCATGCAAAACTCCACGTAATCCCAAGGGGTTCACATACTTTTTCTTGCAACTGTAGTTACCTACATTCGGTATAGAATTACCCCCCTTTAAAAAAAATCACATTTTGTTACTTTGCAGCCTGAAACGAAGACAGACAGTTTTAGTTTCATCCAGCTGTATTTACTCCATGCAGCTTAAAACATCCAGGTGAAAGATATAACACCAATGTGTCAGAAAACAATAAAAAAACTTTCAAAAACAGAATCACTGACTTGGAAAAAAAGATCACCCCTCTCCTAAAAATGACTTCTAAAATCAGTCAGGTGTAGCTAATCACCTTTTCAATGGCACACAAAACCATTTGACTTTTAACTGTGATCAGCTGTTGTCATTTTGATTAGCTCAGCATGAAAAAACTTTCCTGGAGAATTTCAGTCCCTGATAGTGCAACTGAAGCAAACAATCACCTATTTGTGGCAAGGCACTGTCAAAAGATCTCCGGGATAAAGTTGTGGACAGGCACAAGTCAGGAAATGTATACAAAAAAATGTCAAAGGCTTTATCAACACCTAGAAGCACAGTGAAGTCTATTAATAAAAAGTGGGAAGGTATTTGGTACAACACAGACTCTCCCTGGATCAGGATGTCGCTCCAAACTGGATGAAAGAGCCAGCAGGAAAATGGTCAGAGAGGCTACCAAGAGGCCTACAGCAACTCTGAAGCAGTTGCAGGAATTTATGACAAAGAGTGGTCATTGTGTGCATGTGACAACAATATCACAAATTCCCCACAAATGTGGCTTGTATGGGAGGGTTGCAAGAAAAAAGCCACTCCTCAAGAAAGGCCACATGGAAAAAGTTATGTTCAGATGAGACTACAATTGAATTATTTGGCCTCGACACTAAACTATATGTCTGTCGGAAATCCAATACAGCTCACAATCCAAATAACACCTTTCCTACAGTAAAGCATGGAGGTGGTAATATCCTGGTATGGGGGGGTTTTCTCTGCAGCAGGAACTGGAGCACTTGTCCGGATAGAAGGAAAAACATATTTGGCAAAATGCCATCAAATTCTTGAGGAAAATCTGCCCTTTGACTTGCAACACGATCATGACCCAAAGCACACAGCAAAAAAATTACCACACAGTGGTTGAAGGAGAAAAAAGTGAATTTCTTTGCATTGCGTAGTCGGAGCCCAAACTTAAACCCCATTGAAAATCTGTAGATTGACTTGAAGACTGCAGTCCACAAACGGTCACCATCAAATTTAACTGAACTTGAGCAGTTCTGCAAAGAAGAGTGGGCAAATATTGCAAAATCTAGATGTGCAAAGTTAGTAGTGACATATCCCAACAGACTAAAGGCTGAAATTAAAGCAAAAGGTGGTTCAACAAAATACTGACACAAAGGGGTGATCTTTTTTTCCCAATTCAGTGATTCTGTTTTTGATTTTTTGTTTTCTGACCTGTTGATGTTATATCTTTCACTTGGATATTATAGGTTGCACTAAGTAAATACAGCTGGATAAAACAAAAACTGTGTCTGTCTTCATTCCAGGCTGCACAGCAACAAAATTAATTATTTTAAAGGGGGGTGATTTTTTTTCTATAACCACTGTATGAGACTCTAAATGCTAGATGATTGTTCCTGACACTCAATAGAACTGATGAAGCCATTTGAATGAGTGGTGAAACATCTACAACATTACAGAATAAATGCAGTTGAATGTGACAACTACTGCTAGCTGAACTGTGACCTGGATAAAGGGAAACTTTGCCCAATTACTGTGCGGGAAGTAAAGCCTGCATACGTAATGAGGAAATATGGCTGTCCCCATGTACACATACAATTATAATTTCAATATTGAAACAATGTTTCTAAACATTTATCACACTCTGATAAGATTACATACATTAATCTAGTCCTATTCAGGTGTATAACAAAAAGCTATACTTTTCCCTCCTAAAAATATTAGCTTCTGTAAGGTTGTGAAACACAGCCAATGTTTTAATTATTATTAACCACTACCTTGCCCTATTGCCGCTGTTTCCTTTAGATTCAGTTGAACACCTACAAAGCAGAGAACGAAGCTTTACGAAGGGGTGAGACAGCCGGAATGAATGCTGTAAAACAAAATGCCAACTTGGCGTTAGAGAACCTGCACAAGGCGGTGAGCGGTGCCCAGGTCTCTATAAAGTAAGCTATATTTTCTGTTTAGATTATTTAACTACATATCACCCGCTTTGTTTTTATTTATTTTCATTTTTACACTCCACAGGCAACTGGTGTCTGGAGCGGAATCTTTAAATATTGTGGCACAGCTTTTAAACTCCATAGACAAAATAGCAGAAGTTCATGAGGACGTTCCCTAAAAGTTTGACTACTCTGCCTTTGGAGAATGTGCCAAAAACCACTGCCTTGTAACAGCCAATCAGGTTTCAGCTGTGAAGGTGTCTTAGCATTGGAATGAAGTGTCTGGTTAGTTGCTGTGTTCTAAACTGTACTTTTCGGACTATCAGTATGTGAAATCACCATTTTATAGATAACATGAAAATACGTTCTCATGGTTTGTAATTTTGCGGGATCCTTGTGAGCTGATTTGCTGCATTTTGTAATATCTTACAGTGCACAGCATGGTTGACAGGCACTTGTCAGCTTCATTTCAACTGTCACCTATTCCAAAATCTGATCTTCTCTATTTTTGTATATACTAAATATTTTCTTTAATATACTCTAAGTGGCATCTGCATACATGAACAGGTCTGTGGTTTGTTCTCTGCTAACTGGCCAAAAATTCATTATGATATTTATTTATTAAAAATTAGATGGGGCTATATATATATATATATATATATATATATATATATATTTTTTACTTTTTAACAATCTTTTCTGTGAGCAATTAGAGAAAAACTAAAATTTATCTTTTCTATTATAGGCCTAATAAACTTAGTTACTTTTATAAATATTTAAATATTGCAAATATGATTGCAAAATGTCCCATATTCAAACAGGAAATTACACATTGACAGCTGTGCTGGCAGAGTTGCCTGTGTGCAGGTTTTGGGCCCCCTGTTCAACTACTGGCCAAGTACAAACACCTATTCACTGTGCATTGATTAACAGCTAGATAGAAGTGAGTGTGAGTAAGGCTGCCATACATTATACAATTATCAGTACCCATTTCAGATTTATCTATGTGTAAATAGGTACCTGGGCTGCAAACAGAATGCATAAATATTATGCCCAGTCCCAGTACCCATGCCACATAAAATAGGTCCCAGGCTGCACAGAATGCATAAATATTATGCCCATCCTTGACATAATTGTGCTTGCAGCCTGTTATTATGTAAAGCACATGCACTGGTGCAATGTGGATTTCTAGCATTTTGTTTACTACCCAATGCTCCTGTACAAGAATATTGCAGACTGTGTGTTTAAAACGTTCCCAAGCCTGAAATGGCAGCAAATCAGTACTGGTTGCATTACAATATTGCAAAAATATAATATATTTACCTTCTGTTCAGATGTGGAATTATATTTTTTTCTCCAATATTGTATGTATATACACTGACCGACCACTTCATTAGGTACAGCTTTTCAATTGCTTGGTAACACAAATTGCTAATCAGCCAATCACATGGCAGCAACTCGATGCATGTAGACATGGTGAAGACGACTTGCTGAAGTTCAACCCAAGCATCAGAATGGGGAAGAAAGAGGATTTAAGTAACTTTGAACGTGGCATGGTTGTTGGTGTCGGACAGGCTGGTCCGAGCATTTCAAAAACTGTTGATCTACTGGGATTTTTATGCACAACAATCTCTAGGGTTTACAGAGAATGGTCCGAAAAAGAGAAAATATCCAATGAGTGGCACTTGTGTGAATGAAGATGCCTGGTTGATGTCAGAGGTTAATGGAAAATGGGCATTTGTTTTAGAACATGGCAAAGTTATAACCATAGCAGTGGAGCATAGCAGAGGTGCCACCCCTCTCCCTCTTACACATTAGTGAAAAAAAATCTATTTGTCTTGCAAATGGCTTCCTGGGATGTGTGAGGCAGCCATTCCAGTTTCCAAGATGTCGCTCAACAGCAGACATGCCACAGGGGTCTTTATCAGGCCCTGTGTATCTGGCAAAGACTCATGGAATGTCTGTGCTCACTTCCATTTTATGACAGGGTGAAGTGTTGTGGATTATTGTTTTTGTGACCACAATAAAATGTAAAATGCCCCTTGCCATGAGAAGATTAAATAATTTTGCAACACAAAGCTAGGAATGTGCATCTGTGTGTTCTTAGTCCCACTCAGGGTCAATCAGAAAATGTAGTCTTAGAGTTATTGTCAAGTTCACTGATGCAAACCTAAACTTGGTCCAAGCATCTAAATATCAAGATTCTATAGCCGCTAAAGGGTTAAACAGTATTGTGCTCCCAGTAAGAGCATCCAACATGACCTATCATGTTGGATGCACTTTATAGCTAACTTCACCTTTTGTGTGCTTTACCAAACTGCTGCTATGGGCAATAAGCACAGTCTCGCTTCCGGCAAAACTTTACTGTGTTGCACTTTAAAGTGTACCTGTCAGGATAGAAATATTGGAGCTTCTATTTTGCACTTAAAGGTAATGGCATCCTGACACTGGCTTTACTACTCCATAATACAGGATTGGATTGCAGGCGTTACTGGCTGCTTACTTGTTCCAGATTAGCTGACTTACTAAATCGTGGCCATGAAGAACAGCTAGGGAACAGAATCTTTAACAGCATGTCAGGAGTGGCAGCTATCATTTTTTGTTATCTTGGTAAGTTCTTTGTAATTTACTCTCTATTATATTTGAAGGGATTCCGTCTTGAAGCTTTACACATTTCTGAGAAGCCTTTCATGAAAGCTGCCACTTTCTTCCAGTCTGTGTAGCTGTTAGGAGAAATGACCATGAAAGTGAATTGGTGCTACATTACCATGGATCCAGTGTCTGTGCAGGCTTCTCAAGCATGTATTTTGCCCGAAGGCATTGCTAACCTATAGAAACCAATCTTCACCTTCTCGTAGAAGCCAGCAGTAAAGGAACATTTCTGATTGCAGTATTACTTGAATTTACACATTGGGTAGAGGGAAAATATTTGTATGGTGATGGATGCTTCCCTTGTACTATGCACATATAATACCAAGGACTGTGACTCAAATGTTTTTCTCCTAAAAATTCTGCATGTGTGAAAATGTCAGAGTGTCATAGAAGTGTTCACACTGGGACAATGCAGTCATGAGCAGATCTGCATGGAAATTTCTCAGCGTGAACTGCATGACAGTGTTGGACCTTTTTTGTTTTGTTTTTACAAGTAACAATTCTCTTGTATCTGTTCATATTAGCTGAGCGATATAGTAATTGTATAAAGATTTTTTTACAGCACTTTATACTGATTGAGTGTACTGATATATTTGCCTTTTACAAGGAAACTCCAGACTGGCTAGGGAAAAACATTGTTCTTTACCCCTGGTTCACATATATGCGGCCGTGTGGGCTGCGTTTTGCAGGTGCACAAGAGCCCATTCATTTGAATGGATTCCCGTGCCCCATGACACGCAGGGAAGAAGTCCCTGCACTTCTTCTGAAAATGCAGCCCGCACGGCAACCTCGGTTCCCAGTACAGTTGCGTTTTCCAGTGCAGGCAGCACCTGCACCTGCACCTGCCCGCAGGTCCACATTCCTCTGTGTGGGTGGTGCAGTTTCACGGATTTTCATGTGGATCCTCAGCAGCACCACCCGCACATATGTGAACCTAGCCTAAAGGTTAATGCCACCTTTTTTGCAGCATATTACACCCACATTTAGGGTGTAATATGGGTGCCAAGTGAATCACCAACCCAAAAAGTCCCATCCCCATGATAGTGTTCTTTTCACCCACAGCTGCTGTCTTTTTTGAATTTTTATGCTTAAAGTGCAAATAAAGCCAAATAATTTTTGTGATGAGGGTTAGAACCACTGTCAGATTTTCATTGCTGTCTGCATGCCCTTTGTGGAGATTCACTTTTCCCCTTGTCATGATGACCACTGTCACTTGGACTGAATGTGAAAGAAAAGCAAAAATATTAGGTTGTCACCTAAACAGGAATAGAGGTGATTTCACTTACTTTGCAGAGATTTCATCTCACTTTCTGTTATATGTTCAGGTTGGGAAGTAACAGGAAATCTCCCCAATGGGACGTAGATGGGAGGGGAGAAGGGGGGCAACAAGCGTTTTGAACCATTCCCTACTCTCTCCAGTTAAAAAGTTTCAGATATGCTTTTTATTTAATTCCTTAGTTTAATCAGTTAAATATGTTTCATGTGCATCAAATCAAACAGTGATCAATGTCTTACGGGTTTTTTTCTGCCACAGCCTGGATAGAAAACCTGCCCTCTGAGGAAAAGTAGTGGTCTCTACAGAGGTATGACACATCCACTGCCATGTCAGAGCTCTCCAGTCAGTGGGAAGCATGAGGTTGCAGATTTGCACAGCTATTGGTCTAACTGAATAGCTGTTGTGTCAGACATCTATAAAAAGACTGCTGCTTCCACACAGAGAGCAAGGGTCCCATTCTGCCTCTGCTGGAGTGAGACAGATATTTCTACACAGAAATGGCAGCTTTAGAAAGAAAAAAAAAAAAAATGTAAGGCATTGAACGCCCTTTATTTTGATGCACTTTAGGATATATTAAACTTAAGGTTAAATTGGGCTTTAACCACTTGAGCTCCTGAGGATTTACCCCCCTTAATGACCAGGACTTTTTTTGCTGTTTGGCGCTGCACTAATTCAAATGATAATTGCGCGGTCATGCAATGCTGTACCCAAACAAAATTTACGGCCTTTTTTTTCACACAAATAGAGCTTTCTTTTGGTGGTATTTTATCACCTGTGTGCTTTTTTTATTTTTTGCGCTATAAACAAAAAAACACGAAAATTTTGAAAAAAAACAATATTTTCTACTTTCAGCTATAAAAAAAATATATAGTAAACTCAGTTAGTCATAAATTTAAGCCAAAATATATTCTGCTACATGTTTTTGGTAAAAAAAAAAATCCCGTGCATTAGCGGGCAAACTGGCGCTATCTGGGAGGGGCGCTAACACTATCGGAAGTCACCAGTGACACTAATACAGTGATCAGTAAAAATCTGTTCACTGTAATCAATGACACTGGTGACAGGGCAGTGAAGGGGTTAACTGGGGGGGGGGGGGGGGGCGATCAAGGGGTTAGACGGGATTACTGGTGTATTAGCGGGCAATCTGGCGCTATCTGGGAGGGGCGCTAACACTATCGAAAGTCGCCAGCGACACTGATACAGTAATCAGTAAAAATCGGTCCACTGATCAGTGACACTGGTGACAGGGCA